TTGTGACTCTCAGCTTGGTACCTGTCAGATCGTGGTTAGGGAAGGGGTAGAGGAGGAGCCTTTTAGGAGCAGAGAAGGAAAGAGACGCTGGAAAATGGCATCAGGTGCAGCAGTGCCCAAATCGTGTGTCCACACCTGCCTCGCTCACATCTTCCAACCTAGACGCTTGTTTCTGTCTGCAAGAACAGTGAAGTTCTCCTCCCAGATCACTGGTTCTCAACCAGGAGCAACTGTGTTCCCAGGGGACATCTGGCCATGTGTGCGGACTTCAGTGACTGTCACCACTGAGGGGTGGGGTGTGCTAATGGAATCTCAGGTGGTAGTCAGGGGTCCTGCTGAACCTCCTGCAAAGCACAGGACAGCCCCCCAACAAAGTGGCCCAAGGTATCTATAGTGCTGAGGGTCCTGCGGCCCTGCTCAAGATAAAGGTGGGCAGGGCTCTGGGAGCAAGGCTCACACTGTGGTGATGTCATCAACTGTCAAAGGAACAGCTCGATTCGAAAAGGAACGGGGAGTAACTTGCTGATTCCTTCGTTCCTAAGGAGCAAGTTCAGGCACTTCCAGCTTCCTGCTTTGGTCACACCACTGCCAGGGCACTTTGGAACGCCACGTCGATGCACCTCCCCCACAGGCAGTCCCTGGAGCAGGCTCCTCTCCACAGCCCAGCCAGCCTTCCCACCAAGGGGTCTGAGGCCCCGCCTTTCACCCCCTTGCTTCTCCTGCCAGAGCTTGGGGGTTCCTACCTGCTCACACTTGGCAGGTTCATGAGATCTGAGTTTATTTTTAAACCAATAAGCACTCTGGCCACTCTCATCTTCAATGAGCCAATAGTCCTTTTGTTCTATTTTCTGCCCGGCTTTCAAATACTCAAAGGAACATGAGAGGCAGCCTAGTGAGTTAAAAGCCTGTCTTCTGGAGTAAGATCCCTGTGTGCCCTTGGACAGGTTAAATGCGGGCTAGCTGTACTTATCCCACAGGGCAACCTTGTCCTGAATGAATGAGTGCAAAGTGTGGAGAACAGTGGCCGGGACTTGGCAGGCACAAGGTGAGCGTCAGCTATCATTCCTGTTGATGCCACGAGAAACCTGGTTCCTACTCAGCAATCTGTTAACCTAGCAGGTAAATTTCCTTAGTGATTCTGTGAGAGAAGACAAGCTGATTTCTAAACAGTCATCTTCTCTTTGGGAATAGGCTAGAAGCTCAAAGCTCTCATTTAAAAAAAAAAAAGTGTTACCACAGAGTACGTTGTAATTTAATGTGACTTCATTACATAGTTGGTCATTTTTATCACTAGAAAAATGTTTTTTTTTTGGAGAAATGGAGGCCCAGCTATGACATACATGATGAGAAAAACTTGTCTGAAGTCCAGAGCTGCCGACAAGCTGGCAGAGCCCAGGTGTGCGTATCAATCGCTGTAACACTATACGTACCTTGCTCCCTGTGAGCTGTGCGAGGTGAGGTTTCAGCTCTTCTCCGATTACGGAATAAATTGCCACTAAACAAAATACGCTGGCCTTCCGCACGCTACTTTCAGTGTTGTCATAACCCTACAGAGTCAGAAGAAGAATACAAAAAGTAAACGAGATCGAAGATTTGCTTCACAGTCACCATTTCATCAACATTGCCACAAATGCCCTTATAGTTCAACCTTGGACTTGTCAAAAACGGCTAGGATATACCTTAGCTCTGCAACTGAATCCAGGGGGCTTCCATCCCAGAGGGGCCAAAACTTAATAGTGCCAAGAGTGAGGGGGCTCCTGGGGCTGCAAACAGGAGGCTGGTGAGCTGCAGACTGATCTGCATCTGCACAGGGTGCTGTTTATAATAAGCTGCCACCGTAGAGTCACCCAAGAAACGTCATGGGAGACAGAATGAGAAAAGGAAACTAAGAGGGAAAAGTACCTTGCTTCTTTTTTTATTTCTCCCAATGGTAAAACAAATTTTGCGTGAAAATTCCTTTAAAGAAATGAGAACTCTTACGTCACTCAATCTTACAAGCAAACCTCTCTGCTATCCAAAGACTGCTGGGAAATGTCTGGTCCCAAAGCCTGATTTGGTAGTGTCCCTATACAGGGGAACTCCACCTCCTGGTCAGCCTCATCCCCACCCCTCACCACATGGGACTGACTATCTGCTGTTCTCCAAAGCCCCCAGCATATTTCAGCCATGGTGTCTTTCCCTCTGCCTGGAATAATCCAGTCCTCAACAGTATATATTTAAATTCCCAGGCCCCATGCTCAGCAATAGCAGCTTTTATTAAATGTGAAGCCGATCTCTCTACCCTTCCCATGGAAATCTCTCTCCAGGACCCATCTAAACCACTTCATCTACGAGCCCTTCTCTCTGCCACCCTGACCTGGAAGTCACCTCTCCACCACTGATCTCATAGCTCTCAGCTGTCACCTCACTACACGGCACCAGCATCGCTAGCTGTCTGCATGGCGGAGTTGTGTCCCACGGCAGACAACATCCCGAGGCAGTGCCACAGCAGTGGGAATCATCTGTACCTTCCAGAGTATGTCTAACTCAACTCCTCATGCTCAGAAGTGTTTCTGTAAATATTTGCTGGGTATATGACAGCAAGGACCATTACTTGATTTTGCACCCCAGGGCCCTCCTGCCCAGGGCAGAGGCCCACAGACATGCCAAGGGTTTGTTGAAGGAATGAACAGAAAAAAACAAAACAAAATCAAAACATGTTTACACTACACAGTTCGTTCTGTGAGCCGCAATTCTAGGCTGCCAGGAAAAGCTTCCTGGTACATTAGAGGAGGGTGGGCTAGAAGGCAAGAGAGAAGGTGTGAGGTGTCCAAGCCATGCAGTTTCCCAGGTTCCAAACCATAGGTCACCGTCTGGCCTTACCTATCCGTCCCCCTTCACGTGAATGAGGACAGCAGAGTCCCCACCTCCCTCTGAGTGGTGTAGCCACAGTCCCTGGCCACGTGACCCATGCCACCACAGAGCCTACCTGCAGCAAGCCTGGGATGATGTCTGCGAGGAGCTGCAGCAGGGACTCCCTGGCGATCCTCTCGACGACCTTGGTCTGCATCTTGATGGCAGCGAGGTTGATGGGGTAGTCGGCCGTCTGGATGATGGGGCAGAGCACTTTGATGCACTGCTCCGGGTGGATGGAACTGGCCAGCGTGGACGCGGCCTCCTCGGCAGCTCTCACCACCTGAAACACAGGTCCCCTCAGGGAGTGAGCTCCACATACTGCTTGAGTGGAAAGATCCAGAAACACTGCTGCTTAATTTTGGAGGCCAAATGAGACTCCACTGAATGCCACATGGCAGCCAACACTTGATCTAGCCAACTTTGTTAAAGAAAGTAGAAGCAGAGTAATTTGGAGGGAAAAGTGGGCATAGGGAGGCAGGGGATTCTGGCAAAAATCTTAGAAAAGTGGTTCTCCGAGTGCAGTCTCCCCCAGCGGCAGCAGCCAAATCTTTGAGAACCTGTTAGAAATGGAACTTCTCAGGTTCCGCCCGGACCTGCTGCATCAGAGACTGTGGGGGTGGAGCCCAGGAAGCTGTTTTAATAAACACTTGGGAGATTCTTATGTACATGGATATTTGAGAGTCTCTGCCCTAAAAGATCAGGACTTGAAAATGTAAATGCTTTCCAATGGCCTGTGGGCCACCAACAACTGGAATAACTGAGAGAAGCCGGAAGGAAAGTCAGAACGACTTCGCGACTTATGTTTCCACGGAAGCGCCTAAGTGCCAAGTGCTTTCCTGAGGAGCCTCTTGTGGAAAGTTGCCTTTCCAGGAATCTGTGCTCATGGTATCACCTCAGGTCCAAAGGAGCAGCCTCTGGCCTCTGAGAGGATCGGGATGCACTGGGACACATGATGGTCACCACAAGGGCCACAGAGACCTTCTGTAATAAAGATGAACGCCTGATGCAAAACCCAGTGAGAAAATGAGAGCACAGGGCTGGGGCTCAGAGAGCTGGAGGCAAAGCCTCATCATACCACTCACGCGTGCTAAGGCCTCGTCTCCTCATCTGTGAATGGGCGTGTCTCAGAGACCACGTGATGAGTGGCACTGAGATGTACTGGATATTCGGGAAAAACAGTGACTACTAATACTGGCGCAGGAGTACATATATAAAAGCTATATGAAGACCCCATAAACAGGTATGCATTTTCTTACAAAATACAATGAAAATCTAACTTTCCTCCTAATGGAGAAATGTTCAGAAATACCTGGACTGGTCATTCCAAAAGATTCTCCTCTGCTTTGTGTCCTGCTATTCAAAGGCAGTTAGCTCTGCCTTTAACTCAGCAACAAGACCGAGGCTACCAGCTCAAGCCTCCCATCATCCCAGCGCTCTGTGGTTGAAGCAGAGACTGACCAGAACAGCATAGAGACTGCCTGGGAAGCCTCTTCTAGTCCTGGGCACGAGTGGGCTAAGTCAGAGCATACGAAGCAGGGAGGACAGGAGACACAGAAAGTCAATCCGAGCCGCACGGTGGACACAGGAACTACCGGTCACTGTAGAGCCTGACGAGGCACTGCTGCTGCCAGAGCCCTGGGTCCACTTTCCAGGAGGGACAGGGTCAGATCTCAGGGCTCCAGCTGTGGCTTTGGGACAAGACACCGCCCAGCTGTTATGTTCAGCCTGGGCCACACTACCCGGGAACAGGGCTCACCGCCTGGAGTATGCTTCACTGGACACGTGTCTGCTCTACTCTTGTGAAGATAAAAGGAAAATCCTTCCCATACCAGGGAGCTGTAGTCATCTCATTTAAAAATCCATGTTTAGGGCTCGCCATGCTGCTAACAGTGGGTTTTTCACTAAGTTCCACTCTGGCTACACATACCCCAATAGCTGGCACTTAATGTTATAAAAAAATCTAGAAGAAATACATAAAATGTTCACATGCATTTTCTCAGAATGGTAAGATTAAGGGTAATTTTATTTCGTTCATATTTTTTATACTGAAAAATTAAAATGAACATCGCATGAGCGTTTGTAGCAAGGAAAATGCATTCATAAAAATCTACTTAAAATGCCTTTGGAGGTCAGGGAAAGTTAGCAGTGCAGCCCTCGATTCAAGGCGGAAGGTGCTAGAATGCTGCACTCCAGGGGAGGCAGCCCTCGTACATCTTCCTGAAATAAAGCTGACCCCTGGCAGGGAGCAGGTACTCCTTGGGTGTTAGCTGAGCCTGCTGCCTAGGGAACACTATAATATCTATTATCATTATTATTATTACTATTTCTGCTTACCTGCCGTTTCCATAAACTCTCCTCTGCTAAACAGAAAACTCATTGTCCCTTAAACAAACGTGGCTGACACATGTGCCCTCCTGGCAGCAGAATCATCTTCTTTCCTTCAATTCCTACAGTTTTTCCTCATTTCTGGCACCAGATGTAGACTGCTTTGTATTCTAGCTGACATTTCCATGTGTGTTTCTGCTTCCCCAACAGGCTGCAAAGGCCCAGCAGGCAGGAGCTGGAACATTTCTTCTGTGCCGTGAAATACGCAGCAAGGCTGGGCACTCACCAGCGAGCTGGTTAACACTTATGAGGGACTGAATTTCCTTCTCCTGTCTGCTTGACGCTTTGTTCCTGTCTGAAAAAGTTCTACCTTCCTGAATCTGAAAGTCACACTGCTTTCATGTTGGAGGCCTTTTGGACTTGCCCTGGGAGAACCTGCTATCTCCTTAAAGCACTGAACAAGGCTAGGTGTCTTGTTAAATAAATCATCCCCATCATCACCTGGCCAGTGTTTGTGGACACAACACATACACCTGTGGAGACATACACTGGAATTATGTATTAATCCTTTCAGGAGCCAAAATGGAGACCCAGGCCAGTGTGGTTCAAGGGTAAATACTGTGTAGACGTGAGAAGACAGGTATCCAGAATTTCTAAGATTTGTCTGTGCGTCTTATGTATGTGAAAGGTCAGGCTTTGCTGAAAAGCACTGTGGAAAGGTAATTTTATTTTAAGAGTCCTGTCGTACTCTCAAAAAGCTCATAAGAATCTTAGGAATTTCAAAGTCTCAGCAATTTTTTTCTTACCACCCTTCCCTCTGCCTTCCATTTGTACTTTCATTCACTCCTGTGTCAGGACTGAGCTCAGCGCTTAGACCACAGAGGTGAGGATGATGGGCACCAGGAGGGGGCGTTGGGAGAAGGGGGAGCGGGGTGGTCCATGCAGAGGCAGTGTGAGGATGCGAAGGCCCAGGAGATGGAGGATGAGGCCACGGAAGCAGGCAGGGGCCAGATGGGGGGGCACCTGCTGCCTGAGGAGCTCCTGCAGTTGGCCAGGATAAGATGGAGGGAGGGCGGTGAGGGATGGGGAATCAGAACGAGTGTCTGCAGAGGTTCTCTGGTGCTCTGCAGAAACTCCTCCAGCTCAAGGGCCCTTGGCCCTACGGAGCCTCCCCACAGAAAGCGTCTGGCTTGTGTTAGCCGGGCCGCAGGCTCAGCCTTCCCAGGCAGCTCAGTGTAAGTGAGCAGGCTTCTGTGTCAGCAGGCATGAACTCAGTCACATTTATGGCACGTCATTCTACTTTACATACACATGGAAATAAGACTATTTAAAAGAGGCCCACTGTGATTTTTTCTTGCCAGCTTAATCTCCTGCAAAAGTACAGCTTTTTCTATACAGGTCCCTCGACTGTAAAGCAGAGTGCTGTCTGGCCTGGTGTGCATGCATGACCTTTACCCTTTTACCCCAACAGCGGCAGCCTCCGGGGCTGGGGCGCCACGCTCTCCACCTCTGAGAGCAGCCCAGCACAACCTCAGGTCAGCCCTCTGCCAAGGCATATCCTCGGTCTAAAATGAGGACTCAGAAACACCTACTTTTACAATTATTTGGATTAAGAGAAATAACAAAGATGGCAGCTACAAAACACATGATGTCTGTTAGCTAGGCCTTACAACAGGAACAATACCAGAGGTGGGGCTTGGCAGCAGAGGTGCTACCAAGAGGTCTACAGCCAGCCTGGGAGCTCTGGGGCTGCCAGAGAGCGGAACTCTGACCAGTGGGCCCCTCCTACCTGGCCCACTGCTCATATCGAGTACGTCTGCTGCTCTAATAGCCTCTCCAAATGCTAACCTGATGACCATGTACATGTTCTTCAATCCAGCATGGACGACCAACAGGCCTGGTCCTGCCTGCCTGTGCCGTCCCATTTTCAGCTGTTCCTCCTCCCACTGAGCCCTGGTAATACTGAGCTGAGAGCACGCCCTGCCAGCCGTGTCTCAGGGCCCGTGTCTAATCCCTGCACTCTTCCTGAATGGTGCTCATTCGTGTTCTTCCCCTGGCTGGACCAAGCCAGCCCTCAGGATCCACTCACCTCAACAGAACCTCCAGGAAGCCTCAGGTGCACACCCTGATAACTGCACTTACACATTCTGCTGAAACTGTCTCTCCGACTAGACTGAAAGTTCCTTGAAAGCAAGCTCCCATCTCAGCCGTCTTTCTACCCCCATGCCCAGCACAATACAGGTCCAATATACATTAGGTACTCAATAAATTCTCCCATAGTGCATGTATTTTTAAAAAGGCTCATGACTAGCAAAGTCAGCTCTCGGCATGCCTCACCAATCTGCACTGACAAGCTCTAACTAAGGAGCTAGTCCAGACAGTGCAGAGGAAGGCAAGATACCCACAAATGACCAACTGGGGTCGTAGGACAACCAGCTGTACAGGCCCAGAGTGTCCCATCTAGGTGACATGATGGAAAAAAGGATACACATGTGCTGACTTGACGTCGGGTTAGCTTCTTCCAGTAATGGGGTTGGAAGAGGGGCAGCGTACTTCTTAGAACAGCTCCATCATGCAATGGATTACCCTTTTTCTCTTCTTCAGTTCATGCAGTCATGCAGTGAGCCTGTGCTCTGAAATCAATCCTTTTTCCTGTAAGCAATCGCTATTCACAAGTTTCATGACACAGTGGCCAGAAAGCTGTCATACTAACTAACTGAGGCAACTTTGGGTCTTGGTTCTTAAACATGGGAAAAAAATTAAAAGAGTCAGAAAATACTGGATGATTTCATAGATATAGCCAAGTTATAAAAGAGTGTTGCACAGGAATCGACATTTAAGGTCCCAACTGGAGGTGGGAAGCAGCTCAGTGGATGGGAAGACACACGCTTTGGAGACAGACTGGGATTCAAGTCCCGGCCATGCCATGTAACAGTCATGACAGGAGCAAACTAA